GTCAGTAAATCACCACAGCAAAACGTCCATGCACTATTCTAGCTCTGCACGTTGTATTGCCATCTGATTAAGGCCACCACGTGTTACACCAAGAGAGAAATGCTAGATGCCAGCCACATACAATGCACTGCCCCCCCACCCCCACCTTGATCTTCTGATTGCCAGCAGCCACGGCGTTGACAGCAGATGAGCAGGCGTCATCATAGTAATACTGCCGGATCTCCCGGCTGTGAGGGATGTCGTTCAGCCAGCCAAGGTGACTACTGAGTTGACTCAAAAGCACCCCATCCCACCTTGATCCTTTGCTTGCCAGCAGCCACGGCATTGACAGCAGCGGAGCAGGCATCGTCATAAAAGTACTGCCGGATCTCCCGGCTGTGAGGGATGTCGTTCAGCCGCGTTGGCATGCCCCTCCATGCGCCCTCCCCTGCCATTGGTGCTGCTGCCTGCTGCATGGGTGCAGAGGGGAGAGGAGGGACACAAGGGCTGAGCAACGGAATGGCAAGGAAAGGAAGGAGTGGAGCTGGGGAAATAGCAAGAAAACGGTGCAGCAAGGTCGAGAAAACGGAGACGATGGATCCTGGTTGGCTGGAGGAGCGACAGAAAGTGGTGAGCACAGGATGTAGCGTATTGTGAGCTGTGGGGAGAGGCAAGAGGGTGCTGCTACCCCGTGGTATGGCACTACCTTGTCCGCCCTGGCCTTGTCGAGGGCACTGCAGATGTCAGCAAACACCTCGTGCTTGCCTCGATGCCCGTCCACCTGCATGGAACGAGGGCATTGGGGAAAGGGTAGGGGAAGAGGGTACATGGAAGAGAGTAGGGGGGAAAATGGCAGGGGAAGTGGGGTAGATGGAAGAGGGCAGGGGGAAAAAGGGCAAGGGAAAGGGGGTAGATGGAAGAGGGTAGGGTGAAGATAATTTGGAAAGAGGGGGTAGGGGAAACTAATTCAATATGACCCAACATGTGCCATTTCGCCCACTCATGCCACCCCACCCTCCTCCATCCATTCTCCCTTCCCCCCACCTCACACACAGACGTACCTCCACGAGTTTCTCCCTGTACGCGTTCACCACATGCACCACGTGCTGCTTGTATACCTCCACTCGCGCTAGTGCCTGTGCCATGAGGGGGAGGGGGGAACAAAGCGCGCGTGAGAGGCAGCAGGGCGTGAATGAGCAATTTCTCCTCCCTGTACGCGTTCACCACATGCACCACGTGCTGCTTGTATACCTCCACCCGCGCTAGCGCCTGTGTGGTGACGGGGAGGGGGGAGGTGAAGGGAAAGGGCAACAGAGCGAGTGTGAGAGGCAGGAGGGCGTGTAGGTAATAGGACTGGTGGAGAAAGCAGTGCGTGAGGTGACTTGCGAGCAGGCCATACTACCTCGTACCTTCTCCTCGGTGTCATCAAATCGTTGGATGAGCCGCGCTCGAACCTCCTCACTCTCAGGGGGTGAGAAGGTGAGGTGGTAGATGCGGTTGGTGTGCGGGTCTAGCCTGCGCCCCACCACCCTCTCCACCAGGACGCTGTCCGGTACCTGCAGAGACACGGAGGTAGGGAGGCAGGGGAGGTGGGCACAGGGGAGTAGCACAGCAAGGGAAAGGTGAGGACTGAGCAGACCTGGCTGGACCCTTGCGCGGAGAGAAATTGAGGTGTTGTGCGGGTCCAGCCTGCGCCCCACCACCCTCTCCACCAGAATGCTGTCCGGCACCTGCAGAGACACGCAGGCAGGGAGGCACAGACGTTATTGTGCCAAGACAAAACACTTTCAGATACATGAATGGAGGACGTCAAATAGCACGCCATCGCCCTGGAGAGAAAAGGAAGGAGGAAACGAAACGAGCACTGGACTTGACGCTGACACACAGCACACGTGCAGCCCAGCAGGAAAAGTCCAGCACAACCCCCCCCCATCATGAGCAAGGGCGCCCTTTCAGTCGCCTCAAAAGCCGGCCGCATTCACAAGTGAAAAGAAGCGTTAGCGCACCTGCAGCAGCAGGAAGACGTCAGGAACCACCCCCGCGTCCATGAGCGCCTGGGCCTGAGCAGGCGAGCGTGGGAAGCCGTCCAACAACCACCCCTTGCTCTGCGCGTCCGGCTGCGACAGGCGCTCCTTCACCATCTGGCAGGAGGGAAGGCGGGTTTAGGAGATGAGACGGAGGGGAGTGGGATGGGAGATGGGGTGATGGGGAGTGTGGGTCGACAGACAGGACCACCATGCACCACACCAATCACCTGCAGTGCAGCCCGTCGCCTCACAGCCCGCCCTCAGAAGCAAGTCTCGCCTCCTTGCAAGCACCGCAGCACAGCGGCTTATCCCACTCACACTGATCACGAGCGAGCTCAACTGGCACGAGCTGTCCAGCATACACAATGCAATCCCACTCGCCGTGCCCCGCACCACCTTGTGAGAGACTTCTGGGAGTTGTCAATGCATTCTCATCCATCCCCACTCACACTGATGACGAGCTCGTCCGGCACGAGCTGCCCCGCATCCATGAACGCCTTGGCCTGCCTGCCGTTCTCCGTGCCGCGCGCCACCTCGTCCCGCAGCAGGTCGCCCGTTGATATGTGCGCCAAGCCGTACTGGCAGAGACAGGGGGTGTGAGATGACAGGCAGGCAGGCGGGCACAGGCAGAAATGAGACAGGCGAGCTTCAATTCAGGGCACTCAACCCTCAGCAGGTCGCCCGTTGATATGTGCGCCAAGCCGTACTGGCGGGTGCGAAGGGGTGTGAGATGACAGACGGACAGGCACGCAGGGAGGCACAGGAGGGCATGAGACAGGAGTGATGCAACGCACTCAACCCGCAGCAGGTAGTCCGTTGAGCCCCTAGGGTTGAGAGGCGGGAGAGACTGAACACGCAGGTGGTGGCGCTATGGGCACATCCAAATGTCCCAATTGCTGCTCTCCTTTTACCCCCCTTACGTTGTAACCGTTCTGGTCCCCTTCATTGCACGAACCTTCTTGACAATCTCCTCGCATTGCGTGCCCTTTCCCGAGGCTGGAGCCCCCGATATAATCACGCGCAGCACCGTTGACTCCTCCACGGGGGGTTCTGCCGTCGTTGTCGCGGATGACGCCGCAACCTGCGGCGCATATCACGGAGAGGAAGAGGAAACGAAAAGACCGGATGAAAGAAGGTGTTTTGCGGAGCTGACTGCGAGACGAGCGCTCCGGGAACATTAAAAGATTTGAGCGTTGTTCGCGCTGAATGACCAAATCCTCCCCGCTCTTCGTTTAGTCGTGTGCGTGTGCATTAATTCAGCACAAAATGTCGCACCTTCAGCGATCGCCATTGTCGTCGCTGCGCGGTCGCCTTAACTCGACGAACGCACAAAGGGCTGGCGTCGGCGTCGGTCGTTGCAACTCGCGGAACGAGAGCTACGCTCGCTGACGTGGCATCGCGCGCGGTTTCCTGCCTGAACGCTGCGCGCAGCGAAACGGCGGAGCTGGCTTGCAGCGAGAGAGCCATTGGCGAGGAACCAGGAACTATCAGAATTGGTTGATGTTGGTCCTGATTCCTCTGCCCTTGGACTATCAACGGCACTGGGATTGCCGAGGACGTTTCTGATAATGGTGATAATGGGGTGGGACCAGATGCATGCACGCGCATCATCCTCCTAGAAATTGTACTCGTACTGTTTGACTCGCTTCCCGCTCAAACCAATTCTACGAACAGTGTTGCGAAACGCGCAGCTTCACAGCATATACCCATACGTTGTTCGCATTACTTTTCGCCAGTTGTCGCTGCTGGAATCTTCATGCTCACGCTGGCCGCACAAATCCCAAGGCTTCCCTGGCAGTGGCCAAATTTGAGCATGTTTCAGAGATTCATGTTCAAATTTCCCTAGTAGCCTGAACCACACCCAGGAGTCTGGACATCCTATTCTATTCCTTGAGCCTTCGTGGCTGTCCTGGTCAACCTTCGTCACATTCCGCGACACATCTTAGCTGCTCGTCCTCCACAGTCGCTTGTTTCCACTTCGCGTATCTATCTTAGTCATCGTGCTGGTTCCTCTCGTGAAGCTAACAGCTGGAGTCGAAGCGAGCAGGAGAAAGTGCAATGGAGGTGGTGCGAGTGAGCTTCGCGGATCTCAAGGTCCGTCAGTAGTAGCGAGTCGCGTCGTGTCGTCTCAGTTATGTCAGCCTGGCATGTAGCACGCGTTCAGATGACGCCAACACGCCATCGTCGGCGCCATTGGAATGTCCCTGACGCACGCATCGCAGTCGCATCTCGTCGTTGAAGTGTGTTCGAAAACCATCAGCGAGAAAAATACTTGTAGTTGCGGAATATATCACGTGTTTCTTCCCGCGGTTCGGAACTTCCTCACTTGAGTTGACACACCTTTTGTTTCTGCCTGACCGTTGTATTGCAATCAGGAAGGCAGCGATCTCTCTGCTCGAATCGAAGCTGCGTTTGGGCCTGGAGGCCTGGGGATCATTGCTGTTTCCGATGTAAGAGAGCCTGTTAGGAGTAGAGCATCGCCGTGATTGCGCCATACGCTGCTGCATTCCTTTGTTTGTCAACAGATTTCAGGTTGAATGAAGGTTTGCGTGGTCTATTTCAGGTTCCTGGCTATCCTGAAGCAAGGCAACGGCTTCTTCCGCTCGCATTAAGGTTTGTACGTCGATAATACCCAGCAGTGTCACATTCTTCCAACTCGTCCAAACCACACTTTGATGCCTGTGTGTGACTGTGCATCACCGTGTTGGTGCGTGCATGACCGTGGACGTGTGCTCGTGTTCAGGCTTGGCGAGCTCCCAGAAGAGGCCAAGCGACGCATTGAAGACCCAGACAGCAAGTAAGTGCCTCAGCCGATCCTTCTCTTCAAGCCCTCGTGTTTCCACCACCGACCCTGTTTGTTTCATTCATGTTCATGTCAACTCACAACATGTTGCATGCGCCTGCTGTGACTGCACGGCAGGTACAGCTTCGGGTGGAGCGAGGGCAAGGAGGCGGTGGAGGCAGGCAGGAGGGACGCGCTCAAGGCGTCCTTCTATGCCAACCCGCTCTCTGACACGCCCACCACCGACCCTGAGCTTATACGCAGGTGAGGTGAAGCAAGTGTGTTGTGAGGGTGCCCCTACAACCCCCCAGAGCAGAGGCGCCTTCCCCTCACAACCCCGCCTTGGTCCACGAGCGCGCCTTGGTCCACGAGCGCGCCTTGGTCCACGAGCGCGCCTTGGTCCACGAGCGCGCCTTGGTCCGCGAACGCGCCTTGGTCCACGAGCGCGCCTTGGTCCACGAGCGCGCCTTGGTCCACGAGCGCGCCTTGGTCCACGAGCGCGCCTTGGTCCACGAGCGCGCCTTGGTCCACGAACGTGCCACAACTCCCCATTCCAGAGGCGCCTCACCCTCTCACAACCCCCCAGAGGGAGCTGCCCTGGGTTTCATTCATAGCTTGTGCACCTGCATGTACATATGGGAATTCCTCTGCACATGCACTACATACTCATGTACATGCACCCATACACATGCCCATGCCCTGCACACAGGTTCCCCACCTACTGTCGCCCCAACGTGTGGCCCACCCAAGACCTCCCGGAGCTGGAACCAGGTGAGCTGGCGCCCAGCCACGTCATCTTCTCCTTCCCTTGTCACTCTGACTCGTTGGAGTCACATCACATCACATCATGACACTGAACTGAATCTCGTTCTCGCGCCTCCCTGCTGTGCTGTGCGCGTGTCAGCCTTCAAGGCGCTGGCACGGATGATAGTGGTTGTGGGCAAGCAGCTGCTGCAACACTGTGATACCTATGGTGAGCCTTCCCTGCGATGACTATGGTGAGCCTTCCCTGTGATGCCTATGGTGAGCCTTCCCTGTGATACCTATGGTGAGCCTTCCCTGTGATGCCTATGGTGATCCTTCCCTGTGATGCCTGCCATGAGCCTTTCGATATGCAGCTATCTTGTGTGGGTTACTTCCCTTCCTTTCTTTCAAACGTCGCATTTGACATTCTCAAAGTGGAGCCCTTTTCTCAACCTGTCACCCCTCTCCACGCCTCCACACCGTGCCAGTCCACAGCAGGAACCCTCAGGTGCCCCCAGGCAAGCTGCAGCGAGTGGTGGAACAGTCCCCCTGCCACAAGGCCCGCCTGCTGCTCTACCTGCCACCGCAGCTGCCCCCACCCACACCGCTAGCAGCACAGGAAGCGCGAGAGGGAGAGGGAGTGGAAGAATCGCCCGCAGAGAACAGCAGGACGTCACAGGAAGAGGAGGCAGTGGCATGTGCACGCAATGGGGGCGATGGGGGCGCGTCTGCTTCTGAGAGTCTAACGGCTGTGGCAGATGCGGATGTGTCGTCGTGGTGTGGCTGGCACCTGGACCACGGCTCCCTCACAGGCACGTGCTTGCACCCTCTCCGTGCTTCATCCCAAGCTGCGCTCCTGCTTGCTCCCACACAAGTACCTCTCTTGTGCCCGCCTCATTCGCTCACACGCTCTCTCCCTCCCTCGCACTCGCATCCGTCCCTCCCTCACTCAGTCTCTTCCTCGCTGCCTGCTGCTTGTATCAATTTCAGGCCTGACGAGGGCACAGTTCTGGAGAGGTGGGGAAGCCATGGAGGGCAGCGAGCTGGACCCCACGTGTGGCCTTTACATCCGAACTAGGGACGGGCAGATTGTGCAGGTGTGTGTGTGTGTTACATGAAGCAGCACCACATGGTGACCAGCAAGGGCACCAATTTCAGGCCCAATAAGCACACACAGTACTGGTATTCTCTGTGTCAGTTGAACCTTTTCTCTTGTCGTATAGTTACCATTCATGTAGACATGCTGCTGGCTGTATCTCCATGCCTCATCATGCTCCCCATGCATTCCCCCATACATTCCCACGCATTCCCATGTGTGCATGCATGTGCATCAGGCGCACATACCGGAGGGGTGCATAGCGTTTCAAGTGGGGCACGCCATGTCCATCCAGTCAGGGGGGCTCCTAGCTGCCACGCCACACTGTGTTGCGGTACCCTGCCTCTGCTTCTTTCCTCTACTCGTATTCCTGCCAACCCCACTAACACTGCCTCTGCCTCTCCTACTCCTATTCCTGCCACACTCCGCTTACTGTGCCTTTGCCTCTCTCTGTGCTCGTATTGCTCCCACCCCTGACTTACTCCGCTTCTGCCTGTTCCTCTACTATTGCTGCCACGCCCCACTGCATCGCACTGCTCTGCCTCTTCACCCTTCCACTATGGCCCTCTCATCGCTCTCACATCCTCTGTTCACACCCGTATCGCTTCATTCAATAGCCTCCACTCCATCGGCTCTGTCATTTCTCCGCATCCGAGCCATCTCATCCCTTGTCACTCCAGTCCGTGTCCATCCTGCTATGAACCCTCATCGGCCTTACCATACTCACCCGCCCCTTCCCATACCCACCTGCCCATGGCATGCTATGCATTCACGCAGGCACCCAAAGGGCCGGCATCAGTAGGCATTTCTCGTGCCACATTAGCAGTGTTCATGCAGGTCCGTACTGTTCATGTGTGTCCGCACTTATCATGCATATGCAATGCCTAAGCTCATAGGGAGATGCACTCAGCAATATTCAAGTAGGTCATGCAAGCAATCGCCAAGCGCTTGTTCCAGACGTTGCTGCTCCTGCCATCTCTCTCACCATCTCAAAGCTCGCTCTGCTGCGTTGCTCGCATGCTCGGCTGCGTTGCTCGCAGCTCGGCTGCGTTGCTAGCACGCTCGGCTGCGTTGCTAGCACGCTCTGCAGCGTTGCTAGCACGCTCTGCTGCGTTGCTAGCACGCTCAGCTGCGTTGCTAGCACGCTCAGCTGCGTTGCTAGCACGCTCAGCTGCGTTGCTAGCACGCTCTGCAGCGTTGCTAGCACGCTCTGCAGCGTTGCTAGCACGCTCTGCTGCGTTGCTAGCACGCTCAGCTGCGTTGCTAGCACGCTCAGCTGCGTTGCTAGCACGCTCAGCTGCGTTGCTAGCACGCTCTGCAGCGTTGCTAGCACGCTCTGCTGCGTTGCTAGCACGCTCAGCTGCGTTGCTAGCACGCTCAGCTGCGTTGCTAGCACGCTCAGCTGCGTTGCTAGCACGCTCTGCAGCGTTGCTAGCACGCTCTGCTGCGTTGCTAGCACGCTCAGCTGCGTTGCTAGCACGCTCAGCTGCGTTGCTAGCACGCTCAGCTGCGTTGCTAGCACGCTCAGCTGCGTTGCTAGCACGCTCTGCAGCGTTGCTAGCACGCTCTGCAGCGTTGCTAGCACGCTCTGCAGCGTTGCTAGCACGCTCTGCAGCGTTGCTAGCACGCTCTGCAGCGTTGCTAGCACGCTCTGCTGCGTTGCTAGCACGCTCAGCTGCGTTGCTAGCACGCTCAGCTGCGTTGCTAGCACGCTCAGCTGCGTTGCTAGCACGCTCTGCAGCGTTGCTAGCACGCTCTGCTGCGTTGCTAGCACGCTCAGCTGCGTTGCTAGCACGCTCAGCTGCGTTGCTAGCACGCTCAGCTGCGTTGCTAGCACGCTCTGCAGCGTTGCTAGCACGCTCTGCAGCGTTGCTAGCACGCTCTGCAGCGTTGCTAGCACGCTCTGCTGCGTTGCTAGCACGCTCAGCTGCGTTGCTAGCACGCTCTGCTGCGTTGCTAGCACGCTCAGCTGCGTTGCTAGCACGCTCAGCTGCGTTGCTCGCACGCTCAGCTGCGTTGCTAGCACGCTCAGCTGCGTTGCTAGCACGCTCAGCTACGTTGCTAGCACGCTTGTTATAGTCACAATAGGCTTCAATAGGCTTCAATGTGCCTAGAGCCAAAGATAGAGTGCGCAGTCAGATTTCTGCACAGCGGCTTCAAACGATCATAGCGATCTGGTCACAGCTCCAATTGACCTCATTCAACTTGGATCTGGAGCGTCTTAACGTCGCCTACAATAAGCAATTTAGATCGCACGATTTCATTAAGAATTGACGACACAGCGTCAGATTGAACGAACGGCACTATGGCAGCAACTTAGTCTTAGAAGACACAATTACGAACAACTAGGAAGAGTTGCGAGTTGGGAAGGACTCCCAGCTCCTAGAAACCCCAAGAACCGAGCTACAGTGATGGGGAACAGTGCCACACTGTCCCCAACCAAGAAGGGTCTCGAAACTACCCTCCACAAGGGCCTACACCCACAGAAATGTTACACTACACATTGTAATGTAACTATCTTCAATATCTTGAGGTGTAACCTTAGCCTTTTTGGCGAGCTTCGAAAACACTTGAAGCTTGAAACCAAGGCTCGGGTTCTTCATCACAAAACTCATCCTTGAGTTCTTGATGGGCCTGCTGCACACACCTGCGACACGCCGAACGTTCGACAATCGACAAAATAGAAACCGCGCACGACAAAATAGAAACCGCGCGGGACACACAAAATAACCGCGTAATACGCGGCTAGCGATAACTCGCTATAGACTCGACACACACACACTCAATGCATGACCCATCATGCACACACAATATAAGCATGAAATATATATTTATTTCATGCACTCATACCACTCCATGCACACATGCATGCACGCACATGGACAACAAGCCGAGTGCAAACCGTAGGTTGCACCAACAACGCTCAGCTGCGTTGCTAGCACGCTCAGCTGCGTTGCTAGCACGCTCAGCTGCGTTGCTAGCACGCTCAGCTGCGTTGCTAGCACGCTCGGCTGCGTTGCTAGCACGCTCGGCTGCGTTGCTAGCACGCTCGGCTGCGTTGCTAGCACGCTCGGCTGCGTTGCTAGCACGCTCGGCTGCGTTGCTAGCACGCTCGGCTGCGTTGCTAGCACGCTCGGCTGCGTTGCTAGCACGCTCGGCTGCGTTGCTCGCACGCTCGTCTGCGTTGCTCGCACGCTCCGCTGCGTTGTTCGCATGCTCGGCTGCGTTGCTAGCACGCTCGGCTGCGTTGCTAGCACGCTCGGCTGCGTTGCTAGCACGCTCGGCTGCGTTGCTAGCACGCTCGGCTGCGTTGCTAGCACGCTCAGCTGCGTTGCTAGCACGCTCAGCTGCGTTGCTAGCACGCTCTGCTGCGTTGCTAGCACGCTCTGCTGCGTTGCTAGCACGCTCTGCTGCGTTGCTAGCACGCTCAGCTGCGTTGCTAGCACGCTCTGCTGCGTTGCTAGCACGCTCAGCTGCGTTGCTAGCACGCTCTGCTGCGTTGCTAGCACGCTCTGCTGCGTTGCTAGCACGCTCAGCTGCGTTGCTAGCACGCTCAGCTGCGTTGCTCGCACGCTCAGCTGCGTTGCTAGCACGCTCAGCTGCGTTGCTAGCACGCTCTGCTGCGTTGCTAGCACGCTCTGCTGCGTTGCTAGCACGCTCAGCTGCGTTGCTAGCACGCTCAGCTGCGTTGCTAGCACGCTCAGCTGCGTTGCTAGCACGCTCAGCTGCGTTGCTAGCACGCTCTGCTGCGTTGCTAGCACGCTCTGCTGCGTTGCTAGCACGCTCTGCTGCGTTGCTAGCACGCTCGGCTGCGTTGCTAGCACGCTCAGCTGCGTTGCTAGCACGCTCTGCAGCGTTGCTAGCACGCTCTGCTGCGTTGCTAGCATGCTCTGCTGCATTGCTAGCACCCTGTGCTGCGTTGCTAGCACGCTCTGCTGCGTTGCTAGCACGCTCTGCTGCGTTGCTAGCACGCTCTGCTGCGTTGCTAGCACGCTCAGCTGCGTTGCTAGCACGCTCAGCTGCGTCGCTAGCACGCTCTGCTGCGTCGCTAGCACGCTCAGCTGCGTCGCTAGCACGCTCAGCTGCGTTGCTAGCACGCTCTGCTGCGTTGCTAGCACGCTCAGCTGCGTTGCTAGCACGCTCAGCTGCGTTGCTAGCACGCTCAGCTGCGTTGCTCGCACGCTCAGCTGCGTTGCTAGCACGCTCAGCTGCGTTGCTAGCACGCTCTGCTGCGTTGCTAGCACGCTCTGCTGCGTTGCTAGCACGCTCAGCTGCGTTGCTAGCACGCTCTGCTGCGTTGCTAGCACGCTCTGCTGCGTTGCTAGCACGCTCAGCTGCGTTGCTAGCACGCTCAGCTGCGTTGCTAGCACGCTCTGCTGCGTTGCTAGCACGCTCAGCTGCGTTGCTAGCACGCTCAGCTGCGTTGCTAGCACGCTCAGCTGCGTTGCTCGCACGCTCAGCTGCGTTGCTAGCACGCTCTGCTGCGTTGCTAGCACGCTCAGCTGCGTTGCTAGCACGCTCAGCTGCGTTGCTCGCACGCTCAGCTGCGTTGCTAGCACGCTCAGCTGCGTTGCTAGCACGCTCTGCTGCGTTGCTAGCACGCTCTGCTGCGTTGCTAGCACGCTCAGCTGCGTTGCTAGCACGCTCAGCTGCGTTGCTAGCACGCTCTGCTGCGTTGCTAGCACGCTCTGCTGCGTTGCTAGCACGCTCAGCTGCGTTGCTAGCACGCTCTGCTGCGTTGCTAGCACGCTCTGCTGCGTTGCTAGCACGCTCTGCTGCGTTGCTAGCACGCTCAGCTGCGTTGCTAGCACGCTCTGCTGCGTTGCTAGCACGCTCAGCTGCGTTGCTAGCACGCTCAGCTGCGTTGCTAGCACGCTCAGCTGCGTTGCTAGCACGCTCTGCTGCGTTGCTAGCACGCTCAGCTGCGTTGCTAGCACGCTCAGCTGCGTTGCTAGCACGCTCTGCTGCGTTGCTAGCACGCTCTGCTGCGTTGCTAGCACGCTCAGCTGCGTTGCTAGCACGCTCAGCTGCGTTGCTAGCACGCTCAGCTGCGTTGCTAGCACGCTCAGCTGCGTTGCTAGCACGCTCTGCTGCGTTGCTAGCACGCTCTGCTGCGTTGCTAGCACGCTCTGCTGCGTTGCTAGCACGCTCAGCTGCGTTGCTAGCACGCTCTGCTGCGTTGCTAGCACGCTCAGCTGCGTTGCTAGCACGCTCAGCTGCGTTGCTAGCACGCTCTGCTGCGTTGCTAGCACGCTCTGCTGCGTTGCTAGCACGCTCAGCTGCGTCGCTAGCACGCTCAGCTGCGTTGCTAGCACGCTCTGCTGCGTTGCTAGCACGCTCTGCTGCGTTGCTAGCACGCTCAGCTGCGTTGCTAGCATGTTAAGCTTTGTTGCTAGCACGCTCAGCTGCGTTGCTAGCACGCTCAGCTGCGTTGCTAGCACGCTCTGCTGCGTTGCTAGCACGCTCTGCTGCGTTGCTAGCACGCTCTGCTGCGTTGCTAGCACGCTCTGCTGCGTTGCTAGCACGCTCTGCTGCGTTGCTAGCACGCTCAGCTGCGTTGCTAGCACGCTCTGCTGCGTTGCTAGCACGCTCAGCTGCGTTGCTAGCACGCTCTGCTGCGTTGCTAGCACGCTCAGCTGCGTTGCTAGCACGCTCAGCTGCGTTGCTAGCACGCTCAGCTGCGTTGCTAGTACGCTCTGCTTTGTTCTAGCACGCTCAGCTGCGTTGCTAGCACGCTCAGCTGCGTTGCTAGCACGCTCAGCTGCGTTGCTAGCACGCTCTGCTGCGTTGCTAGCACGCTCTGCTGCGTTGCTAGCACGCTCTGCTGCGTTGCTAGCACGCTCAGCTGCGTTGCTAGCACGCTCTGCTGCGTTGCTAGCACGCTCTGCTGCGTTGCTAGCACGCTCAGCTGCGTTGCTAGCACGCTCAGCTGCGTTGCTAGCACGCTCTGCTGCGTTGCTAGCACGCTCAGCTGCGTTGCTAGCACGCTCAGCTGCGTTGCTAGCACGCTCAGCTGCGTTGCTAGCACGCTCTGCTGCGTTGCTAGCACGCTCTGCTGCGTTGCTAGCACGCTCAGCTGCGTTGCTAGCACGCTCTGCTGCGTTGCTAGCACGCTCAGCTGCGTTGCTAGCACGCTCAGCTGCGTTGCTAGCACGCTCAGCTGCGTTGCTAGCACGCTCAGCTGCGTTGCTAGCACGCTCTGCTGCGTTGCTAGCACGCTCTGCTGCGTTGCTAGCACGCTCAGCTGCGTTGCTAGCACGCTCTGCTGCGTTGCTAGCACGCTCAGCTGCGTTGCTAGCACGCTCAGCTGCGTTGCCAGCACGCTCAGCTGCGTTGCTAGTACGCTCTGCTTTGTTGCTAGCACGCTCAGCTGCGTTGCTAGCACGCTCAGCTGCGTTGCTAGCACGCTCAGCTGCGTTGCTAGCACGCTCTGCTGCGTTGCTAGCACGCTCTGCTGCGTTGCTAGCACGCTCTGCTGCGTTTCTAGCACGCTCAGCTGCGTTGCTCGCACGCTCTGCTGCGTTGCTCGCACGCTCAGCAACGTTGCTAGCACGCTCTGCTGCGTTGCTAGCACGCTCAGCTGCGTTGCTAGCACGCTCAGCTGCGTTGCTAGCACGCTCAGCTGCGTTGCTAGCACGCTCAGCTGCGTTGCTAGCACGCTCTGCTGCGTTGCTAGCACGCTCTGCTGCGTTGCTAGCACGCTCAGCTGCGTTGCTAGCACGCTCAGCTGCGTTGCTAGCACGCTCTGCTGCGTTGCTAGCACGCTCTGCTGCGTTGCTAGCACGCTCAGCTGCGTTGCTAGCACGCTCTGCTGCGTTGCTAGCACGCTCTGCTGCGTTGCTAGCACGCTCTGCTGCGTTGCTAGCACGCTCTGCTGCGTTGCTAGCACGCTCAGCTGCGTTGCTAGCACGCTCTGCTGCGTTGCTAGCACGCTCAGCTGCGTTGCTAGCACGCTCAGCTGCGTTGCTAGCACGCTCTGCTGCGTTGCTAGCACGCTCTGCTGCGTTGCTAGCACGCTCTGCTGCGTTGCTAGCACGCTCTGCTGCGTTGCTAGCACGCTCAGCTGCGTTGCTAGCACGCTCTGCTGCGTTGCTAGCACGCTCTGCTGCGTTGCTAGCACGCTCAGCTGCGTTGCTAGCACGCTCAGCTGCGTTGCTAGCACGCTCAGCTGCGTTGCTAGCACGCTCAGCTGCGTTGCTAGCACGCTCAGCTGCGTTGCTAGCACGCTCGGCTGCGTTGCTAGCACGCTCGGCTGCGTTGCTAGCACGCTCGGCTGCGTTGCTAGCACGCTCGGCTGCGTTGCTAGCACGCTCGGCTGCGTTGCTAGCACGCTCGGCTGCGTTGCTAGCACGCTCGGCTGCGTTGCTAGCACGCTCGGCTGCGTTGCTCGCACGCTCGTCTGCGTTGCTCGCACGCTCCGCTGCGTTGTTCGCATGCTCGGCTGCGTTGCTAGCACGCTCGGCTGCGTTGCTAGCACGCTCGGCTGCGTTGCTAGCACGCTCGGCTGCGTTGCTAGCACGCTCGGCTGCGTTGCTAGCACGCTCGGCTGCGTTGCTAGCACGCTCGGCTTCGTTTTTCTTGCACGCTCGGCTGCGTTTCTAGCTGCAATGTTCGCGCGCTCAGCCGCGTTGCTCGCACCCTCAGCTGCGTTGCTAGCACCCTCAGCTGTGTTGCTAGCACCTTGAGCTGCGTTGCTCACCCCTGCTCACCCCTGCTCGCCCCTGCACATCCCTGTGCACACACCAGGTGATGGAGCGGGATCACATAGTGGTAGGGGAAATCAACAACCCCCTCGCCACACTGCTCACTCCTCTCTCCTACTCACCCCTCCTCACCGCTCCTCACCCCTGTGCATCCATTTGATGGAGCGGGATCACATAGTGATGGGGGGAATCATAAACCGCCTTGCCACGCTGCTTCAACTCTGTTGCCCAATCCTTCTCATCCCTTCTCCGGTGTTCCATCTCTACTCCCATGCCGCCATCGCTCTGCCAATCAATCGCAATCGTTGTGGTACCCGCACCCTCCCTTCAGCCTTCATGGTACGTGTTGTAAGAATGCAATGTGCTGCACATTCATGGTCTTCGTGTCCCCACCCACCCACCCACCCACCCACCCACCCAACCCTTCACATGCTGACTTGGCTGTCAACAATGCTCAGGAACAACCATCAGCGCAACCATGCCATGTGCTCCTTTCATATCTTCCACCTAGATCTTTCCTATGCACTCCCGGTCATTCCATCCCTCCCACTCCTGCTCGCCCTCACACGCTCCTCTCAATCCATCTCTCCCACTCTCGCTCACTCCCCCATGTTCTCCCCACGTCTCCCCACCCAGGAACGAGCCGCTCGACATGCCGCCCTGCAGCTCTCTCACACCCGAGGTGGGTCCCACCACTAGTCGGCTTATACGCACTCTCCTTTCATGTTGCCTATCTGCGTCAGACAAGCTTCAATACTCTCCATTTCAATCCAGCGTCGGTGTGACGCAACTCTCACGCTCACGCATCTCACGCCCACACCTCTCACCCTTCACGACTCTCCGCTCTCTCCCTTGCATTCCGCTCGATTGCAACTCCCCCCCGTTCCCCTCCCCCACCCCCCCCACCCCCCCAATCAATGCAGGAGTTGGTGCCGTGGCAGGCGGGTATGGACTTCGGAACCTTTTCGGAACAAACTATCAAGCAGTATTATTGAAGGGTTGACGATGCTGTTGCCCTTGCTGACTGTAAAGAGATGTCCCAAATGTTGCACCTCAGGCAATGGTTCTGGCAAACTAGTGCCGCAGCCAAGCCATCTGTGCCATAACCTTGAGTGCAGATACGGTATAAGAAGTTGCATGCAGGGCCTATTTTTCAAGGGTAAAACACACTGATTACACTTACCAGCGGCCAATTTTTTAGGATTGATTACCCTGATTTTGGCAGCCTGTTTTGTCTGTTACCCTTTCCGCAAAAGTGTAGACTTACAGATGCTGATTTTGCAAGGGTGCCTTGACTTTTAGCCTTGCCAGACAGGGTGCAAAACAAAACGAACTGAACCAAGAAATGACAAGCCGCAAAAATCTCAATTTGGTCGCGCCTCCCATCCCTACTTCCCACACTTCCCTCGCCTCTCCCTCATCCAATCCCCTTCCCCCGACGCTCGAAGTCCGAGCCCAATTCCCCCAACCCATTCGCATCTCACAGTTCACCAGCCCCCTTCACTTGGTCGCTTCCAGCCTCACTCCCCCCGCGTCCTTCACATCTCCCACCCCCTATTCCCCCATTTCACTCCCTCCTTGCCAGCTACACTCCGACATTTCTATGACCCATGTTGTCTAAAGCAAGTTAGAAAACCGTATAAGGTTTGTGAAAAAAACAGAAAGGAAGATTTACCCTTACACAAGAAGGGTGTTTTTTCTCTGTGCTCATTTTACCCTGATGTTGACAGGCTAATTTTTTTTCCATCCTGATAGACAGGGTGACGTCAGCAAGGCACCCTGATTAGTAAGAGAGCACTACGGTAAAACCAATTTTGGGCCCTGGTTGCATGCGGATGGGCATTACTTGGCAAAGGATGTTCTTTTCCTTCGATCAACACATTTAGAAAGCTTGCTTTCTTATACTGTATTTGGCATCGTTCTCATTTCAACTGGCAATTACAACATGCTCATCGAGCTATAAACCATAAGTGCTAGTACATGTCATCATCCTACCTATCTATCATAGTACTAGCCGTCAAACACAATACTTGCTATCAATTATTGCCTAGCTATCCGTCTATTCGTTCAAGCGGCGACACTTGTGTCTGTCGGTGTTGGGGCGGGGGGTGGGAGAGTTGCAAGAGCCGTTTGAAAAATGAGAGACGTGGGTGGAGGGAAATGAGCTCCAACCCACGTTTTGTAGTTGGAGAAGGGCGTTTAGCGCGCTTCGACGATGCCAAAATCTGCGTTACAGGCAGCTGCGCTTTCGAAATAAGTAATTTTAAAAAACACTTCATGTGTTTAAAAATTATCATAATAAGTCACTTGCAAAAATGAAGGCACAATAATACAATCAATATTACAATAATTACCTACATAACCTAATAGCAACACATGAAAGAAATCATATTTTCCTACAGGCTACTACCGGCCATCACACCAACCGACCCTAGAACATAATAAAGCGAATATGGCACCTACGCGCTACAACCAGCCTGCTCTACCATCTACAGTCGTGAAGTGGAAGCGCCTCAACACGCCTCACGTACCACACGACAGGTACAGGACCAAACGCACAGTATTGCTCCTACACTCCGCGTACGGCTTGCGGTACTGCTGCTCCCTCTAACCTTCATTCCCACTGCCAGTTAGCTCCTCCGGGCAGCAAGAGACTGCTCCCCCCAACCCTCTCATCTCCGCAACACATCAGCTGTTCACCACACCACCACCACACTTCAGAATTACACCAGGACACCACCGCATCAGTGCATGAGATGTTGTTGCCCGGGTGGATAATCTGAGTCACAGCAGCCAGCTCTTGCCTCTCGCTGCAGCCTGTGACCCCTTGCCCCGTGGTGCCTCTCTCTGGTGGTGTTTCTTAGTGATGATCAAAGAACCAAGTACGCCTGCAGCAGCAGCACGGGCTGCTGTGGATGAGGCATGCCGTGCTGGTCCCAGCCGCCTCATAGCTTGCCTGCTGCCTGCTGCCTACTGCCTACTGCCTGCTGCACACCCGTGTGGATAGTGGATACCCTTCACATTCTTTACAGTCACACTTATTCCCACCCTCCTGCAGCAGGTAGAGCATTGCCACTGCACCAACGCCCACATCTCCCCACCATCACCACCACCACTGCCACTGCCACTGACACTGCTGCCTATCACAGCCCATCAGCCTGCTGTTCTAATAGAAGCTGCCCGGAAGGGGAGGGGGAGGAGGCGGGGGTGGAATATTCCCCGCCTGTGCTGCAGGCTCAGGGGCCGGCGGAGGGGGAGGGGGAGGGGGAGGGTCGAAGGCAGGTGGCGGTGGTGGTGGAGGGGGGGGTGGGGGCGGGGGCGGTGGGGGAGGAGCGGATTGAGCAGGGGGCGGAGGGGCAGGAGGGGCAGGGGGAGCCAGGGGAGCAGGGGGAGCAGGGGGAGGAGGAGAAGGAGGAACAGGAGCGGCGGGAGCAGGAGGGGGGGGAGGCACTGCAGCGTCTGCTGCAGGAGGTGGAGGGGAAGGCGGGGGCGGAGGGGCAGACGGAGGGGGAGCAGGTGGGGCGGGCGGGGAAGCAGCAGGGGGAGCGGGCGGGGAAGAAGCAGGGGGATCAGGTGGTGCTGGCGGCGTGGCTACTGCTGCTGGTGACTCTGATGCTGTTGCTGGCGGAGCTGGTGCTGCAGATGCTGCAGCTGAGCCTCCTTCTGACGATGTGTCTTCTCTCCTTTCCCCTGAATCCGCACTCTCTCCTCCTCCACCCCCACCCCCTTCACCCGCCAAAACCGCCCCGCTATCCCCGCTCCTCTCTTCCACCACCACCGCCTCCCCTCCCTCCCCTTCCCCACTCCTATCCGCCTCCCCCGCCTCCCCCGCTTCCCCCGATCCCCCCGTTCCCCCCGCCAGCCCGTGCGGTTTCCTTCCCCCGACCAGGTCCGCCATCCCCAGGCGCTTCCCCACCTCCTCCTCACTCTCCCCCGGTGAAAGTTCCGCCTCCTCCCACCCGCCCTTTCCCACCAGGTACCCCCCCTTGCCTATCTTGAGCCGCGGAAGCTTCCCCTTGCCCTTCTTCCCGGGGGATCCAGACCCGGACGAGTCAGCGTTCATACTCGCTGTAAGCTTCTCCAGTAGCCGCTGCTGGTACTCCGGCGGGTACGTTACAGAGACCTCAAACGGAAAGAACGTGTTGATCATGGCTATGTGGTCATAAACCGCGTTATAGTCCACCCCGTTATGCACACAAGCCGCTCCGTCCCCTCCTCCCTCTCCACCCGCCGCCTTAGCCGCCGCTCTTCTCGCCTCTGCCTCCTCGTGCAACCTCTGCAGCTTCGCGAAGCCTCGCGATTGGACGAACGTCGAGCGGCACGCATTGCTGCTGCTGTTGAGAACGTGGAAGATTCGCAGAAGCACCGCTTCCAGCACCCCTTCGGGGAGAGTAGTCCATTGCAGCAGCGAGTCTAGCGACTCAAGCTCGCCCACCCCACTAACTAGGTCTTTTAAAGCCCGGACTATTCTCGTGCGCGCCTCTACTGCTGCCAGCGAAGACACAGCAGCGCCGCCAGCAGCGTTGCCAGCACCAGAAGCAGCGTGAGCGAGATCAACGGTCGCTACTGTCACCATGTCAATCAACGCTCCAGAATCCGCCACGGCCTTCACATGCGCCGGGCTATGCCGTCCGATCTGACTCAGCGCCCACGCGCACGCGCCGCGCACGCTCTCCTCCACGTCAGCCTGAATCAGCAGCTCCTTAAGCGGCGCGACCCCCTCAGACGCCACTATCGCCAGCGCGCCTTCCCCCCCCGCGCCCGCGAGGTGCCCCAGCGCCTGCACGACCGCCAGGCGCGCGGAACCCGCGCCGCCCTCCTCTGTAAGCACGGCGTCTATAACGGGACCGATTGCGCCCAGGTGTATGAGGCGGTCCGCGGCGGCGGGCGACTTGCGCGCGATCTCGCGCATGGCGAAGGCGGCGTTGCGGCGGAGCGCCTGGTCGGAGTCGTGTAGACAGAGGAAGAGGCGCGATATGCCGTCCGCGCACGCCACGCGCTGTGTGGGGGAAAGGCGGAATGGGGAGGGGGGAATTGAGGGAGAGGGGAGAGACGGGGATGAGAGAGTGCGAGAAGAGGAAGTGTAGGGGATGCCAAGAGTGCAAGAATTGGGGCGTTGTGCAGCAAAGCAAGAACAAGTGGGAAGCATGGTGTGAATGTTGAGATGCTTCAGAAGAGAGATACGGGTGACGTGGCAGTTGAACAAGGGGAGAAGCAGGGGGGGACAGAGGGGAAGAGGGGGAGAAGGGGAGGGAGGGCTTACGATGGCGAGTGCTTCGGAGTGCTTGACGATTTGCGACAGACACACGCACACCTGCGCGGAAAGAGAGTGGGGGAAGAGAGGGAGCCGATGAGAAGACGACGAGGAAGGGAGGAGGGCGAAAATGGGGCACACGGGGGTGAGGGAGGGAAGGAGCGAGGGGAACGAACGGGTTCGCTGATGCGTGCAAGCACGTGACCTTTAGGAACTAGCAGACTGATTTGCGCAAAGATCATTCGCCACCCTCCACCCTCCTTTCCCCTCCGCCTCGCACCACTCCCCCCAAACTTTCCCCTCCGCCTCGCACCACTCCCCCCAATCTTTCCCCAAGTCCCCGTAGCCCCCCCTCCCGGCCCGCCTCCAACCGTTTCCCTCCGCGCCCCTCACCTGGCGGCGCATCTTCACGTCTTTCGAACCCAGCAGCGCCACGATTCTCCCAATCGCTCCGCCTTCCGCTGCGCCCGCACCCCCGTCCGCGTCCCCACTCCCCCCGTCCGCCACAATAGTCGCGAGTTCCGCGGAGTGCCGCGCAATGTCTCCTAGAACCGACAGCGCCATTCGCGCCACCTCCTCGTCGTGTAGCGAGCCTATTAAAGTCGCCACCGCGCCGGTCTCTATCACGCGCGTCGCGGCCTCGCGGCTCTGCTTTGCCACGTGGCCCAATGCGCACGCGGCCGTTTCGCGCACGGCCGGCATCGCGTCGGTGAGGCACTCCGCGAGAACCGGCAGCACGCTGCCCGGGCCGCTGCTGCCGACAGCTGCCAGCTCAGCGCCAGCGTGGCGCGCCACGGCCTTGACGGCGAACGCGGCGGCGCGCTTGTGGTGACGGTTGTTGCCGCTGGCGAGGGGAAGGGGGTGAACAAGGGGGGAGACGGGGGGCGAGGGGGAAGACGGGGGCGAGGGGGGAAGACGGGGGCGAGGGGGGAAGACGCGGGTGAGGGGGAGAGACGCGGGTGAGGGGGAGGGACGCGGGTGAGGGGGGAGACGCGGGTGAGGGGGAGAGACGCGGGTGAGGGGGGAGACGGGAAGGAGGAGTCGGAGAATCGAGGTGGTGAGAAACGGAGAAGAAGAGGAGAAAATGAGGGGGGCTGGGGGAGAGGGGGGGTGGGGAGGGGTGGGGGGAAAGCAACGAGAAATTGGTGCTGTGCGCTCACGCCAAGCTTCCGAGACGCCTCGGGACTCACGCGAGAGCCTTGCAGAGGTCGGGGAGTATGTTGCGATCGACGATGTCATTGGCCCACGTGTCCGACACGTTGGCGAGGCGCCCCAGCGAGAGAATCGCGGCGGATCGCACGGACGACATGACGTCATGCATGAGCGGCAGCAGCAGCTGCATGGCTCCCAGCGAAAAGAATGCCTCCGCGTTCTGCGGCGCGTGTGGCGGGGCGGTGGGGGGAGGGAAGGGCGGGGGGATGTTGGGTGAGGTGAGAGGGGAAGCGCAGGGGAGCAGAGCAGGAAACGAGGAGCGGGTGGTTGAGACGAGGGCAAGGAAGGGGAGAGAAAGGGGTGGGTCCGGGGAGAGAAACGTCCTTTTCGCACCCCGCCCCGAGGTGGGGCGAAGGGGTTGCGCGCTCGCCCTGACGGCTACGGCAACACCGCTGCTGGAACGAACGCGTATCGTCGCCACCCTACTGCGAGCCTAGCAGCGACGCATGACCGAGGCTTATCTGCTCGCACCGTCCTGCACCCCAACCCTCTAGCCGCGTTGCCATACCCGTCCAAACGATCTACCAGCGCTTCCCTCCGCTTCCTCTTCCATTCGTGACTTCCCCTCCGCCGCGGTTGCTATTTTCTTCCACTTCCCTCCACGTCCCTACCCTTCCCCTCGCCCTCCCCTTTCCTCCGTTTCCCCTCGCCTACCTATTGCACCGCAACGCCTCGACCCCCCTCTGCCCTCTCATGCGCCCGTTTGCCGCGTCAGCTTCATTCTCTAGGGACCCTGCACCCGGGACCCACACGACACGCCACGCAGCCGACTACCTCCGCTGCTCCCGCTTCAGACGTCACCGTCCCAACGACGCACCGTCCGCTGATCGTCGTGCAAACCAGACCTAGCGGAAGCTACTGCTGCTCTTGCGCCAAGCGGAACCCGTTCGCTGCTCGCCTTTCCCCAAAGCTACTTCCGAAGCGTCTCAAGAACCTGTGGGGGAGAGAGATAGAAAAAAGTAGTTACCTGCGGGGAAAAGGCGAGATCGCTGACTTTCCCGACGAACTGGATGCGCGCGTCGTGGTACGTCTCCATCGCCGACACCACAGCCCGCGCCGCCCTGCCAGGTGGCAGCACGGCAGCCGCCGCCATGGCCAACGACAGCACGCACTCGCGCTTCGAAAGGACTTCTCCACACTATGCGAACTTCGAGCCGCCTCAAAGGACGACTTCCCCACACTGTAGGAACACTAAGAGTGCGATTGACGGGTTCTGGTACCTGTACCAACCGAGTCTGAGCTAAGACCCTACGGACCTGCAATTGGTCGACGCTACTCTATCCTACTTCATAGCACCGCTGCGCTGCTTTGTCTGGACGACGATTTCGGCAAGCCATGGCGACGGAGTAAGGAGCTCACAACCTGCGAAGCAATGACAACGGAAAATCTGGAAAGTCCTGATCCATAGCGGATGGCGGCTGGCGTGGACGCGCAGGGTGGACGGGTCATACTACGAACGGCGAAAAGCTTTGCGACTAGGCCAAGAGCCCTATGACATCTGCATTTCCTATGCACAAGGGACTTGCAGGCGTTGGTGTCAGACGTAATGTGGCCGTCCGCGCAGCAAGCTGCAATCAGTCAAGGCCAAGCCGTGTGAGTATGGAGAGAGTGTAACCAGGGTGCCACCACAATTGTCATATCGTCGTCGTTTTGCGTGGAAGGACTCGGTCGAGGGAGACTAGGGGACGCAGGCTGGGTGGCATCCCGCAAATAGTAGCCACTAGACTAGGGAGTGCAAGGGTGGGAGTGCTGGGAGAGGAATGGTGCATGTGGTGTGATGGTTGGGTGGTGGGTCTTGAGCATCTTCGTTTCCAGAAGGTAGTATACGGTTCGAAGCGGTGACATCCTAAGCCTGGTTTTTACCGTGTGGCAAACCACTGAACCGTACTGCGCGATTACCGGACGAATATGCGGACACAGCCTAAAATCTTCTGCTCACATATCGTGATGTTCCCAGCGAAAACTAGGTGCGTCGTACAGCGTCGCAGCCCCGCAAGCGACGAATAGCCGAGCGCATTAGGTGGCTGTGACGAAAATATGTGATTTAACGTCGGAAATGACGACGATTACGACGATGACGAAAGTGGAACGGCCACTTAGAAATGCCCATGCGATTGGAGCATGCGCCGGTAAACCGAAATGTGAAAGCATGAGTTCATACTGACCTGGCTGCAGCGGACCGCATGTTTTGTGCGACAGTAATCATGGGGTTCGTTTCGTTAGTTCGCAAATGGTTGTCCTTTAGTGTAGACCTGGGGTAGGCGTACACAACACTCCCTCCCACTGGTCCGTTCATATCCCACCAACTTCGGTTTGTTGCACCTCGTTACAAGGTCCAACCGATTGAGCGGGCACCAAGCACCCTTCTCAGCACTTCCAGAATGCTCGCCGTAACTCGCGGTCGCTTCCCCCCATTTGCGTCTCGAAAAGTGGTCCTCGTAACGGCGCGCTGTCCCTATGACGCGGCCTGTTCGTGATTCTCCCACGCATTCACAACTTTAATGAGTTTGGCTACACCTTCTCCAACTGTATTCACTTCGCATAAACTTGTCATCAGCGCATCCAGCTATAACTTGCTCAATTGTGATTCTGCAATGCATTTTCTATCGAGGTCATCCACAGGGAGGCCACAACTCATCCCACGTCAGCACCCCCAGAGTCCACGCATGAAGATTGCTGCGGGAACGCACGCGAATTTCTAGGGGTCCAACTAACAGCTGCATGGAATGGAACTCTGGTCGCCTCCCACATCCCCCTTCGGCGCGCCACATTCTCAAGAGACGTACTCGCGAACTTCTCGGCAGGTGAAACGGTACGTTCGGGATGACAGTTGAATACAGAGCACACAAATACAGGAAATTATTTAAAATTGGAGTCCCTAGCAGAGGTTTTGTCGGAGCGACGCCGTTTTTCAGCGGTGGGTGCGGAGTACGTTTTCTTTCCCAAGATTGTTCGGGCAAAAACCTGCATGCGCCAAGAACGGGAAACTACCCTCGGTGGAGCTTCCGTTGAACCGAAAAGTTCGAGAGTGCGGGCTAGGCACAAGACGGAAGCCTGCTCGACAGCTGTGGCTAGGCAGCGCAAGATAAGTCCTAGGGAACTCATCACGATAACAGGACCCAACAGGGCGTTCAATCGTACTTCAGCTCTCATTAACCGTTTATTCAGCGTCTATCAGGCCATTCGTGTCGTCAGTTCCTTCCGACCTTTTGCGCTGCCAGATTCGTCCCCCGCAATGACGACAGAGGCGAAGCAGGCCAAGGAGACCAAGACCCCTGCGCCAGAGTCCCTGTGGGACACGATTCGCGGTGTAGTTTTCGTCCTCGGGGTCGCCGTGGCCTTCACGCTTTCGTTCACCGTGCTCGCGTCGTACGAATCGGCTTTCGCCAGGGTGTCGTATAAGGACCACCATTCTGCTGTTCCCGCTGCTGCAACCGCTCCGCTTCGGGAACCGGAGGTGGAGGAAACGCGACCGTTGATGATGGCTGCTTAGCAGAGTCATCCGTCTCGAAGGGTTTGCGGATTTGCGGTCTTTACAAGCCGTCGCCACGCCTGCTGGGTTTACTTTGCCAAAGATTCATTGTAAATACCATGGACTGGCGGAAGGGTATCCCAGGGGTAGCATGTGATGGGGATACGCTCTGACGACCCTGCTATTGGGCGTGCTAGTTCTGGCCAATTCAAATAAGATCATCCTGAATAAAGCTTCGATGACTTGACTCTGCGTTGTTCCAGAAACTGATATACCGTATATCTCAATGTGAGCTGCTTTGCAGAACAGGGAAAGCATAGATGCCTTTACAATAGAGCATGTGCTAAACAAAAGAATTACTGGCACTACTTTCTCTTACAGCTGCTTGTTGAAGAACCAAGCAGCTACTATGTCTCTCAGCCTGACACCACTAGCATCAGGCACAGACCAATTGTCATAAGCCATGGTACAATGGCTTGTTTTGTTAGGAACTATCGCTGTTGACTGCACCCCTGCTTTTCGCCAATCCTGCACCAGTGCTTGTAACGAGTTTCTGAGAACTATAGCGTGGTGCCCCACATACTTGCGAATTCCCCTGGGGCAGGAGAGAAAGCGGTCGGAACGATAGCACGGAACAACGCTCTCATAGGAGCCGGTCATGGCCTCAACGTTGCCTCTGGTCAGCCCGATGGCCAGCGCTGCAAGGTCAAACGCTGAGTTGAGGACGAGGACAGGCGTTTGTGTGTGCTGGAGGGCGTTGGCTGGAAATATGCAGCGCCATTTCTCAGTGCGGGGGTAGGCTGGTCAAGGGGAACAGGTTAGAGGGAGGGAGGGCGCGTGAGAATGGGGATGAGGTTAACCAGTGGGGAGGGGAGTTGTGCTGGAAGGTGGAGAAGAGAAGGGGTGGGAATGAGGGGGAGGGTTGTGTGGACATACCAATTGCAGGTTCTAGCACCAAACCCCACAAGCTGGTTCAGTCACGGTCTCACCTTTCACGCATTGCGGGTCAAAGGACGCATCGCTCCATTGGCTGACCATCATGCGCTGCATCATGCCACGAAACGAGAAGTGGCCCACCAGGTCTGGCTCGTCTGGAAGGGCAGGTAGCAGGGAAAGGGAGGGAAGAGTGAAGGAATGCGTTGAAAGGGGAGCGCGGGGGAGGATGGGGGAAATGGGGTCGAGGTAGCAAGGGATGGAGGATGGTCGGCAATGGAATGAACAGGTGAAGGGGAAAGGAACGCATGGATCAACTTGTTCCGCCTAAGATGTTCACATCTCAACCAGAAGTCATCCAAACTATCTGTACAGACGTTTGGAATGTCTCACCTAAGAAGTATCCGGCGTCAATGGCGCACTTGACAGTGGCGGCAGGGGGAAGGCGAGAAGCCATCCAATCACAGCTCACTGCCACTCCCTGCCCCCCTGCTGAGCAACCCGTTATTAGCACAGCTGATGCTGTTGACAACCCACGAATCTTGAGCATATCTGCAAGGAGGATTCACCGGAGAGCATGGGCTGTCATGTAAGGGCTACGTTTACGAACCGTCACCTGGAGAATTTCATCTTGAGAATCACAGAGATTCGTCCCAACCAGAACTTCCTTTTCGTCCCACCGACCACCTACGCTTGGTTTGCTTCATCGCCCTGTAAATTATTCACCTTAGGCTGCTATTTTAAGTCACTCCCTTTGTTGAGCTGCTGCTTTCACACCAAGATTCTCCATTGGTCATGTGCCGGCCCCCTTCAGACCCCACGCACCTTCCAGCAGCAGCATTACAACTCGCCGACCAGAGTAGAACACACGCGATGAGCCCACTGCCACGCGGCCCTTGTACCCCAAATACGCCCCTCCGTCACAGTACATAAGCACCGCCAGGTTCCAGTTGCCGAAAACGGGGTTGGTTATGGTGTCTGCACTCAGAATGCCCGTAAACTGCGTGTGGTAATCATTCATCTGCGAGAGAGAGTGGGCCGATAGGGAGGGAGGGGGGGGGGGGGGGTTGTGTTGGGGGGGTATGGGGGACGAGGAGGGGAAGAGTTAGAGAAAAACAGGATCTGAGTCGCCTCAGAGATTACATGCACTCAGAATGCCTGTGAACTGCGTGTGGGTAGTCGTTCATCTGCGAGAGAAACGTGGGGAGGGGGGGGAGGAGAGGGGAAAAGAAAGAAAGGGTCTATGGGGACGAGGAGGGGGAGTGTGGGAAAGGCACTTTTTGAGTGCGTCAGAAATCATTTGTACTCCGAATGACCGTGACATGATAGGGGGAGGATCGGGTAGCGGAGGAGTTGGACTATGCAGAAAATGCAGATAGCTCTGCAACAGGACGGTATGTTGACCTGCCTTCTCCATCCTTCTCCACCCTGTGCACAAGGCAGAGATACTCCATCCTGGAAAACTGGCTATTCCCTTTACACACCCCATCCTCGTTACGAACGAGACTCCCATAGGCACGCACAGAATCACCCTACCAGCTTTGTGAAGTTGGCATCCGTGGGTTTTGGCCAGAAGCGCGAGGAGCCACGGAAGGTCTTGGCGCGCTGCTGGCAGTCCGCTGCAGTCGTGCACCACCCGCCGCCCTGCGAGCAACGCATGGAATGGAGCAAAGGAGAAACGGAATTAGCACGGGGTGGAAGGTTGGGTGAGTGGAGATTGGAAGGGTGAGGGGGACTGGGTACAGGGAGACACCTTGGTTAATGTAAGTCAAGAGTTGCAGCAGGAAAGAAACAACAAGGAACGGATTGAGCACGGCGACATGCGTGTGGATGAGTGACGTGGCAGGCATGCCTTACGTGGAAGTAGATTAGCCACTTATTGACGCCCGTGCCCGTACCCTTGCGAAAGTAGTAACCAGCGGGGCTGCAGCGACGAGAACGCAAGAGGGACCATGAGGGAGACACGGAGATGAAAGTGGAGAGTTTGGGAGTTGGGAGGGTTGGAGGGTGAGAGGTGGAAGAAAGAAGGGTGATAGGAGGCGAAGGGTCAGGTAGTGTCAACGAAAATCTGGAATTCCCTGAGAATGACGCGGCGACATTGATGAAGCTGAGACACCACGGGGAAAGCTCGCTCTCGATGTGCTACGAGAGACTTCAGCGTCGCTCAGAAACGGATTACCGTCTTAAATTACACCGGCTGTCGAATGGAAACTACTGATTTGGGCCCTACTGTGTTGGGCGGCGCACCTGCCGTCGAGACACACGGCTCTGGCAGATGGCACCGTCACCAGCTGCATCCTCGACGCACCCCATGCCGCGGGTGCTACTCGTGGGGGCAATGATGGCGATGATGGTCCTGATGGTGCTGATGGTGCGGATGGTGTTGGTGATTGTGATTGTGTTGGTGGTTTCCGGGAAGAATTGGAGGAAGAGGGTGAAGAAGGAGCGAACAAAGATGACACGGCTCTGGTTGGTGGAGGTGATATTTTGGCGGGTGATGGCGATGATGCTGATGGTGAAGATTGCAATTTGTTACCGGAAGTGGGGGATGATGGCGACGACGGTGGAGTAACAATCATTGCCGATGCGCGTCTCTTCGTCCTTCCATTACTGCTCCGCGTCTTAATGGTATCTGTTGTTTGAGTGTTTTTCCCCTTGTCGACTTGCTTGCTCATCCTCCCACCCTGTGCTCCACGTGAGGCCTCAGACCGTCGAATGTGTACTCTGCTGTCCCGCTTCGTGCTGCTCACCGCAGCGGGTGACTTTGCTAGTTCCCCAGGTTTCTTTGCCTGGTCTCCATTCACATTGTTCAGCAGGCTCCGACCAACCAGTACGGAGCGCCCGTCCCTCATTTCTTGCAATGGTGCAGCTGTATCGCTCCATTCACTTTCGATGATCGTTAATCTCCCATTTTCTGAAAGAGATTTTTGAATCTCCTCAAGCCCTGACCACGTATCGGGTCCTCTTATTGAAGCGTCGCTGACCGTCAGGTTCTGTGCAGCTATTGATGACCCGCAGCCAGTCGCGACTAGAATCAAGAAAGCGATGGCGATACTATTTATTGTAACGGTAAGGGGAGACACGCGCGCCATACCGTTCCGTATCGAGGATGGATAAACAGGTAATCTTGCAAACTATATGGCTGTCATATCCGCAGAGATAGTTACGGAAAGTAACTTATCCCAGGGCGAGCACCAGCAGCACAGAAAGCTCACGGCGCTCCGTCTATGCCACAGACGCCATTTTCAGGGTCCCCCTCTACCGCCGCCTAAACATTACTAATGAATCCCAGCGACATAAGAGACCTTCACACGATTACACCGTGGCTTGCAAGCCAATCTCGCAACTTGATGGTCGCAACCAAGTGTTGTGATGCACTGAAAGTCTGCTTTTTTTCTATGGCTTTCTATCAGCAACCTTGTTTCCCAATTGGGCCTCAGCAGCAGCGCCAGCAGCAGCAACTAGCTTCGCATCTACTTTCGCCTCGGAAACATTTCGGCGTAATCCCCAAAGGCGAGGCTATGAATCGAAGCGCCACTTCCAACGGTCATGCATGTCACAGAAAAGGCGACTCGCTTGATGTCAGAACTCGTCACTGGAAAAGGCCTCAACAGAGTTGGAATGGCTAATTGAAGCAAATAAAAATGTACATTTCTGTTATAGATGATTTACAAACCAGAAGCAACAGTACGCTCAGGCTCAAGAAGGTGCGCGAGGCGAGGGTCGTCACGGCGGGGCAGGCCTTGACGCGCTCCAAGGGCTTGGCACTTAGCTGCAGCCTGGTGGTCACGATCACATCCATGGAGACATGAAAACATGGAAGTTGGAACATCATGCTGGTATAGAAGCAAATAGTTATACTAATGGAGGGAAAGGACATGTGGAGGAGGATGCAGGGAACAGAGAATTTGGTACGGAAGGAAGCCCAACGAAGATTCATGCAGACTTACAATAGTAGCTCCGAGTATAAGCATGCGTTCAACAGTGAAACCAGCAGAAATTGCTGCACGTAGGGCAGTGTGGCCAACAAAACGTAGCAGAACAATTTTCTTGTAACATTGGTACACCAGAGCACCAAAAGCAATGATGCAGTTCATTCACACCAGTGACATGCCTCAATAAACAAGGAAATGTATGCACACAGCTCAGAACAGCAGCCGTACATTCAGTACATGACAATTATAAACAAGCAATTTACACTTCCCTTATAGTCATGCATGGACAACTGAGGTATCGAATGCGATCGTTGTCATCATTCGACTCACCATGTAGCACATCCTACTCACCTGCCATCATCAATTGTGCCTCCCAGCCCCCTACATACATGAACAATACGACTCACCATAAAGAACAGCGCCAATGAAGGCATCGCCAGCTCCAGTGGTATCCACCACCTGCCCTGCCTCCAGCGGCACAGCTGTCGCTGCCACCAGCTGGGCAGCAACTTCTGTCCCTTGTGCCGATGATTTCAGGCGCAGGGGCTGTGACAAGGAAGCACCAAGACGGATGGCAAAGGGAAGAGAAAATCTCAGCCACCAAAATCGGTTGCCTCATTTCTTAATCGACTCAAAAGCAGGACATATGGCAAAGAAGAGAACGTCTCAAGCACCAGGATCAGATGCTTCGGCCAAACAAACAGGAAAATCCCAGACAGGGTAAGACATTTCAGGAGCTGTAGGGTTGGAGAGTAATGGAGAAGAAAGGGTGACATTCAGCAGCAGTGCAGTGATGGGAGAATGAGTACCCGAGAGGAGAAGACAGCAGGGTTGCCTTGCTTGCAGCCCTTCTCCTCCGCGCCTCTGATCACCTGCTGTAGTGCCTTGTCCACATCCTCACTGGGTGCATCCGAGTCTGCAGAGGAGAGGCACGGAGAGAAGGCGGGGGAGGGGGGGGGGTTAATATCATGAAGAGTGGGACGCATGATGAGGAGGGGGCGAAACAAGGAAGTAGTATAACTGAAGACAAACTTTAGGAGGGGGGGGCAACATCGTGCAGTGCAATGGCTCTGGGGGGAGCAGCTATTCAAACGTCCCGTTGCGAAGACTCGCTGCCCACTTATACCCCTGCGAATCAGAATTGAAACACGCTCCACCACTGAATCCCGCACTGCACCGCACAGCACACAGCACTCACTGCAGCAAGTCCTCACCTGCAGCCACCCGTCGATCCAGCATAGCACATCCCGCCGCCCCCAGTGTGACTATAATGAAGCGTGCCCTTGGCAGGCGCACTGCCATCGCCAGCAGGGCAGCTCCCAGGGTCTTCTCCCCCGTCCATGCCTGCACGCATGCCATGCCATACCACGCCATGCCATCCCAAGTACAGCAAGCGATTTGTGGAAGCAGCCATGCCTATGGGGTGCCTGCGGAAGGTGGTGCATTCAGCAGTGGCTGCATGCACCCCCGGGGCTTGCTGGACTGCTGCAGCAGCAGAATGCTGCCAAGGGAAAGAGAGCCAAGATGCGTTAAACAGGAAATCACTGCTCACCACCCAAACATACTAACCTGAGGGAACTTCTCAGAAACGACGACATATGTGGCATGGGCCAGCAGGTCGTCCAGCCCCTCTCGGGGCTTCTCAGCGTCCACCAGCACTGGCAGACCCATGGCCTCCGCCTGGTGATGAAAGGTGAGGGGGCGACGAAGGGGGTGAAGGATTAAGAAAGTATTATTCAAATGCCCTTCTTGGGGCTTCCCAGCGTCCATCAGCACCGAAGGGGGGGAGTGAGGGAACGCGAAGGAGCCACAAGGAGGAGGGGAGGGGTGTGGCATTTTTTAGGGGCCTAGAGAACAGATCCCTTAGCGTCCACCACTGGCAGACCCGGGCCATGGCCGGGTGGACGAAAAGGAGGAAAAAGGAGAGGGGAAGAGAGGGGAGTTGGAGGCTGAGTAAAATGGAAGAGATGTTTCAACAGCCACCAGGGTCAACCCAAGTTGAGGTTGCTTGCAGGGATGTGATTCTGTGGTTTTGAGGTGATTGCATGATTCCACAGCGAACGCACCTGCTGGCATATGCGGATGGTGGTGTCGGCCAGGCGGCCATCAAAGTAGGCAAGAGAAGCCCCTGAGAGCAGGGACGTGATGGCAGCAGCTGACAGCTCCGAGGGGAGCAGGGGCGGGGAGCAGGTACTGGTAACGCACCTGTTGGCAGATGCGGATGGTGGTGTCAGCCAGGCGGCCATCGAAGTAGGCGAGTGAAGCCCCAGCGAGCAGGGACACCATGGCAGCATCTGACAGCTCCGAGGGGAGCAGGGGCGGGGATCCGGGCGTGTGGATGCACGTTCGCGTGTTGCTGGTGGGGGGGGGGAGGCGGGGTGGCGGGAAATAGAAAGAGAGACATACAGAAACAGGATCCCAACAGAGTCAGCAGCGGCAGATACAAGGACTGCTTGAGAGAATGCAAGGTGAAGAGATTACGGGATTTTTAAGAGGAGGAACGCAGGTAGGGAGGGGGGACAAAAGGCGCAGAAAGACGAGAGATGATGGAAAGATGGTGCAGAGAAGCACTGACGTTTGTTGGTCAACAATAATGTATGTAGATGGAGACATGCCCCCCTTGCCAACCTGCCCAGGGCACGCAGCAACCAGACAGGCACACACGTGAAGATACCGGTACATAAGAATGCATGGGCTTTCAATAGAGAGGTGATGTGACGTGAACGGCAGTCTCATGCAACGATGTGTAAGCCTCACTTCCACTGGTGTGACATGGCATGGGCTCACAATAACTTGGAACTTGCTCCCACTGACGTGGCACTGAAAGCGACGTGGAATTCACACCCACTGACGTGGCATGGACTCACAATGATGTGTGACGTGTCCACGCCGTCCGCCTGCAGCTCTGCAATCATCGCCTTGCCCACCAGGTCGTCTGCCAGCTGTCACTCACACACGGGGGAGGGGTTCGGAGGGGGGTGTGTGAGGGGGAAGGAGAGTTGGAATGGATAACACACCTGGGGAAGAAGACCCTCAAGACAGGGAGCAGTGATAGGGGGAGGGGGAGTGGTTGGAACAAGAGAGAGAGGACCGGCAGTGGAGCATATGTGCTGATGGGATGTGAAATCCAACGTGACTTGGTGAATCCAACATGGTTTAGTGAATTCAACATGCCTTGGTGAAAATGCGCGTGGAGAGGCCAAGGCGAGAGATGGCCGTGAGTGTGTTGCCCACATTGCCTCCGCCCTGCACCTGCAGAGCACACAAACACACGAGCAGCGCAGCAGAGCACACGACCTTGAGAACGGTGCACGAGAGGTGCAATTGTCATGAGTGCCGTGGAAAGTTAAGGATTAAAAGAGAGGAACGGCAACGTACCTCGAAAGAGGTGCTTCGAATCTTGTCATCTGGGTGGGGGAAGGAGGTGACGGTGGCGAGATAGTCGATGCACAGCCCTCCACAGCCCACCTGCCATGCACCATCATGGGGAGGTTGTGTATTAAGTGCCACTGGTAGGTGCTATGTCACAGACCAAGATGATTCATGACGGTCAATGCTGTCACATTGCTGTCCTACAAGTCAATGCAGTCAATTCTGGTCAACGATGGTTCACGATGGTCAATGCCAGTCCATGATAGCCGTGCTGACCCGTGGTAGCTAGTAGTATTTCACGCTATCATGAAGATTACGACAATCCATGAAAGTCCATGATCTGATCCATGACCATCCATGATGGTCCATGATCAACAAGTGCATCTGTGACCATCCATTGTCATCCATGATCATCCATGATCATCCATGATCATCCATGAACATCCATGATCATCCATTGTCACCCATTATTATCCATCATCACCCACGAGCACCCATGATCATCCACAATTATCCATAACGGTCATAAGCAGACTCCCGGTTCTCCGTACCACACAGACGCTGCTGAGATCGGAAGAAGAGGATCTGTCCCGACCTTCTGATTGGTTGTTGCCAGGCGAGGTGCCTGCCATGGCTCTGGTCGCTCGTCTGCTGCCACGTGGCGGTGCTGTTGATAATCCTGACAGTGACGGGGAAACGCGCAGGGAGCGGGAGAGACGCCTGAACGGCGCAGGTTGCGCGAGCTAAGTGCGAGGACACACAACGGTAACATGCGAGTCCGTCCAAAAAACAGCTAGATTGTCAAATAATTAGACAGGGAGAAATTGCCGTCCTAAGGGCGATGCCGCAAGAGAGAACAGTTACTTAACGAGCGCGGAATCGCCGTGCGCAATCCTAACCTCGAGAAGACCACATGAGTTCCCGCCTCGTCGATTGTGAGCTTAACGGCTACTAACGCGTTCGCCGTGCCATTTCGCAGCCGCTGCACGGAGGTCGAGATCGGGGTAGCCCTCGAGCCCGTGATGGAAGGGACCACGCACTTGGCGATTGCGGCCATGGCGGAAAAGGAGTCACAACAACTGGGACACGAGCTGAGAAAAGGCTATCACCAGTTCAGCAAATTATGCAGCTGCCTTCACACGGCTAATCATTGATAAATGATGGAATTAATGAATTTTGAAATAGGTGTACAAGAATGAGTCCAATGTCAAGGATATGGTTTTTTTGACATTTTCTGAACGCATGAGCCAAGCCAGCTCGGCCTACTAATGCACTTTGTTGAAACTATTGAGCAGCATATAGAGCCATACAAAGGAACCTGACAGGGAATCCATAAAAGAATAACAAAGTGCTTGCTACTTCTTCATGGGGTTTGGCGACTGCTGTAAAGACTGAATAAACAATCCAGGCTTGGCCTCTCGAAGAAAGGGCGGGAATCCTTGAGGCGTGCCAGCATTTGCCACATGCTCGGGTCGTAACCCCGAAGGTAGCTGTGGTGAGGGTCCTTGATTAGGAGGAGCAAATGGAAACGGGGCAAAGAAGGGAGGAGGATGGGCGGGTGGGTGTTGAGTCAGCTGAGCGTGAGGGTGATGCTGCTGCTGCTGCTGCTGTTGCTGCTGGCGATGCGGCTGTTGTAAATGCTGCTGCTGCTGCTGGTGTGGCTGTTGTAAGCGTTGCTGTTGCTGCTGTAGATGTTGCTGCTGCTGGTGCATTTGGTGCTGCTGCGGCGGTTGCTGCTGCGGCTGCTGCTGGTGCAATTGCCGCTGCTGTGTCTGCTGCTGTTGCTGGGGCATTTGCTGCTGGCGATGCATGTGGGTCATCCAGGCAGGAAGAGACGAGGTGGCAGCTATAGCGGAAGCTGCACTGCCATCAGCTGTGGCAGCAGCAGCAGTTGTGCCTTGTGCAGCAGAGAACTTACCAGCTGCCGAAGCAGCACTAGCAGCAAAAGCAGCACCACTAACACTACCACCACCGTTAACAGGAAACACAGAAGACAGGTGGGTGCCCTTCTGGCTCTGCTGCTGCTGTTGCTGCTGCTGCTGCTGATGCTGCTGCTGATGCTGGGTTGAGGCTGATTGTTGGCCTGTTTGGGGAATTTGGAATGTTGCCCCAAAGCGGAACGGGCTACTCATCTCCTCAGCCGCAACAGGCCCGCCCTTGCTCCCACCTCCTAAGAACGGTGGTGCTACTAAAGAGCCGTGCTGATTATTGCTGCTTGGCTGTGCCACCATAGCAGCTGCTGTTGACAGTGCTGCTGCTGACGCTGGCACTGCTCCTGTCCCTCCTCTCCCACTCACTCTCTCACCCACTCTATCCCCTTTTCCTCCCCTTTTGCCCCCCGCCCCTGCTCGTCCTCTCGCTGCCTGCGTCCCTGCCTCCTGGCTTGCACCCCCACCAACAGCAGTTCCACAACTCACCACACCACCAAACCCACCGCCAAACCCAGAACCAGCCCCACCACCACTACTACCACTGTCATGCCCACTTGCTGCTGCTCCTGTCCCTCCTCCTCCCATCCCTCCTCCTCCTCCTATCCCTCCTGCTCCTCCTCCCATGCCTCCTCCGAACCCTCCTCCCAACCCTCCCCCCATTCCTCCTCCCATGCCTCCAAACCCTCCTGTGCCACCAACAGCAGCAGTGGAGGCAGCAGCAGCAGCGGGGACAGCAGGTCGAAGGCTGGAATCAGAGGAGGAGCGAGGAAACGGCTCTGCTAGTTCCCTCGGCAGCTTTAGCAGCGGGAACCCTCCCACCCCCCCCGAACCAGCTGCAGCGGCTGTAGCGCCAGCTGCACCACCGGCTGTAGCAGCAGCAGTACCACCACCACCTAGGGTTGCAGCAGCAGAAGGGGCAGCAGCAGAAGGGGCAGCAGCAGGAAGAGAGGCGTGGAGAAGAGTGGGATTGGGAGCGGAGGAGGGAGGCAGGGGCACAGAGAGAGCTGGGGGAGGGAATCTTGGCCTGGGGCCCACAGCGGGGGGATTGGATGGAGGGCGGGTCGCAGAGAACTGGTGGTGGAAGTTGGGAGGAAGAGAGAAAGAGAGGAGCGGGGTTGCATGTGACTTCTGTGTTGAGGAGTTATCTGGTGGAAGTGAGCTGTTGCCTGCAGCAATAGCAGCAGCAGTGGCGGAACCAGCACCAGCACCACCAACAGCACCACCGGCAACACCTCCCACTCCCATCCCCACGCCTGCCCCCAAACCAGCAGCTGTGGCTGGTGCCGAAGCTGCCATGGAGGCTAGGGAAGGCATGTGCAGGGCCATGGGTGATGGCGAGGAGGAAGAGGACGAGGTGGAGAACGGTGCAGCTGGGTTGGGGGTGGAGGACGAGAGAGGGGGAGTCGATACGGGTAGAACCAAGGGAGGTCGCTTGAAGGGAGAGGAGCCAGGGGGAAGGAGAGGGGCAGAGCGGGATGAGGGAGAGGAGAGGAAGGACGAGGGAGGGAGTGGGGGAGGAGGGTGTGGGGAGGAGGCGAGGGAGGAGGGGAACTGGAGAAAGAGGGGAGGACGAGGGGAAGATGAGGAGGGGGGGAAGGGGAGGGAGAGGGGGGGACGAGGGGAGGTGGAGGAGAGTGGAGCGCGTATGGGGGGCGAAGGGAAGGTGGGGAGAGAGAGCGGTGTGCTTTGTTGTCCCTGATGCTGCTTCTGTTGCTGCTGTTGCTGATATTGCTGCTGCTGAGACTGCTGCTGCTGCTGTTGTTGAAAGTTATGTTGTTGCTGCTGCTGAAATTGTTGATGCTGCTGCTGCTGCTGCTGCTGCAGCTGCTGCTGTTGCTGCTGCTGCTGTTGCTGAAACGATTGCTGCACCTGCTGATACGGTTGCGAGTTCTGCTGCGACCGCTGCTGTCGCACACCCAACTGCTGCTGCTGCTGCTGCTGCCAGGTCTCCGCCCTGCCCTCGAGAATCAACTGTGGAGCACCAAACGAGGGGAACGCAGAGGCTTTGTCTGGCGATTTGGCGCACGAGGGGAGGGAGCTCTGGCTGTCCGTCCTGCCCAAGACGGATGCAGTCCCCACAGATGCCGCGGGGTTGGCTGAACGAGACGCAGCAGCAGCAGCAGCAGCAGGAGGAGGAAAAGGTTTAGTGGTGGCAGTTGCAGCAGGAGCGGCGAGATGGGCAAAGGGGGAGGGGAAAGGGACCTTGTGCCCCAATGATGTCTGTGCTCCTGCCCTCCCTGCTGCCCCTCCCCCTCCCCCTTCTCCTGCTCCTGCTCCTGCTCCTGCTGCTCCTAATCCTGCTCCTGATCCTGCTCCTGCTGCTGCTGCATCAGCCCCACCTGATCCCGTTGCAACAAATGCGGCCCTAGCTGCTGCCGCCGCCACCGTCCCTGCTGCTGCTGCTGTGTTTGCCACTGCTGCTCCTCCACCCCCTTTCCCATCCTTCCCGCCAGCAATACCCCCTCCTCCTTCCCCTCCTCCCCCTCCCTTGCCTCCCGCTCCTCCTCCCCCTCCCCCTCCCGCGCCTGCCCCTTTTCCCCCACCTCCTGCCCCTCCCCCTCCCCCTGCGCCATGGCCAGAGAGTGGCATGCTGGCGACTCTACAAGCAGGGATGGTGGGCTCGTATCCCGGAGGCAGCAGATCGTCTATGTTCTCCAGCAGCTCCTTGTACACCTTCCTTAGCGTCACCTGCACGCACAGGCCCAAACATAAGAGCACACAGTCGCCCATGCATATAATTACACACATGCACAGACAGGCCCACCTCTCTGAACCGCACCCCACCCATTTACACCATGCAGAAGGCTGCTTTCACAGCACTGCACCGCTCTGCACGCATCTCTGTGAGCCCGGTGGCCTTGCAGATCTCGGTCTGCGTGCGCCTCTTGTCCTCCAGCTGGCACGCCAGGTAGATGGCTGCAGCGCTGATTCCAAACCCACATGCTGAACCCTTTCAACCGCACTGAACCCCCATTTTCACCGCACTGCACCGCACTGCACCCACCTCTGTGAGGCCGGTGGCCTTGCAGATCTCGGTCTGCGTGCGCCTCTTGTCCTCCAGCTGGCACGCCAGGTAGATGGCTGCAGCGCTGATGCTGATGGGGTTGCGGCGCGTGCAGAATGACTTGGATATCACCACCTCTCCCACGTGCGTTGCTAGGTCCTGGTGGGTGGAAAGAGCGGGAGAGAGAGAAGGAGAAGGAAAGACAGGGGAAAAAAGAAAAGCACAAGGTGAGTGGAAGGCAGGTGGTGATGCTGATAGGGTTGAGGCGCGTGCAGAATGACTTGGATATCACCACCTCGCCCACGTGTGTTGCTAGGTCCTGATGGGTGGAGGAGGGGGAGGGTAAACGGAAGGAGGTTGGAGAGAGGAGACAGAAACAGGGAACAGACGCAGGCAGAGTGAGTGAGGTGACTGGGCTATTCAAAGAGTACGTGAGTGAGGGAGTGAATGACTGAGTGAGTGAATGACTGAGTGAGTGAGTGAGTAACAGACAGGGAGCCTGTCCCACCTGGGTGGACTTGCGAAGCTGCAGAATGGACCCGAAGCGAGGCATGTGGAAGGACACAGAGTTGGAGTTGACAGGCTGCTGCAGCCGCAGCACCTCCATCAACCCCTTCAAACTCCTCCCCAGCTCCTTTACCGCAATCCCCGCCACCAGGGAAACTTCCTGGAGGGTGCGCGCCTCCTGAGCCTCGCGCATGGCCTGCACCACGGCGGCGGTGGCCAGAGCTTCAATGTTGCGGTTCCGTGCCCCGCCTGCCGACACCACGTAGTCGCGGAATAGGGTAACCGCGTGGTCCGTGATGCTCTGGTCTATGTCCAACAGGCCACTCACTTCAAGGATCTGAGAAAGGTGGGAGGATGGGGGGGGGGGGAGAAAGAGGTGCGAGAGAGACATCTGAGTCGACTCAAAAGTGGTTCATAATGCTCTGGTCTGTTCAATGTCCAGCAGGCCTCCCCCCCTGCGCCTCCTGCGCCTCGCGCATGCCCTGCACCACGCCTGCCGACACCACGTAGTCGCGGAATAGGGTAACCGCGTGGTCCGTGATGCTTTGATCAATGTCCAGTAGCCCGCTCACCTCCAGGATCTGAAGGGGTGAAGGGATGGGAAGAAGATGGAGAAGCGAAAGGAGATGGAGGAAGATGATGCTGCTGTTTCCTGGAAACGAGGCGGTATGCTGAGGAGTCCCTTACTGTGAGAGTCTCACCTGGGAGATCATTTGCGTCCATGGCACTCCCCTTCTTGGGACGCCTGGTCACGATGCTGTGGTCACGATGCTGTGGTCACGATGCTGTGGTCACGATGCTGTGGTCACGATGCTGTGGTCACGATGCTGTGGTCACGATGCTGTGGTCACGATGCTGTGGTCACGATGCTGTGGTCACGATGCTGTGGTCACGATGCTGTGGTCACGATGCTGTGGTCACGATGCTGTGGTCACGATGCTGTGGTCACGATGCTGTGGTCACGATGCTGTGGTCACGATGCTGTGGTCACGATGCTGTGGTCACGATGCTGTGGTCACGATGCTGTGGTCACGATGCTGTGGTCACGATGCTGTGGTCACGATGCTGTGGTCACGATGCTGTGGTCACGATGCTGTGGTCACGATGCTGTGGTCACGATGCTGTGGTCACGATGCTGTGGTCACGATGCTGTGGTCACGATGCTGTGGTCACGATGCTGTGGTCACGATGCTGTGGTCACGATGCTGTGGTCACGATGCTGTGGTCACGATGCTGTGGTCACGATGCTGTGGTCACGATGCTGTGGTCACGATGCTGTGGTCACGATGCTGTGGTCACGATGCTGTGGTCACGATGCTGTGGTCACGATGCTGTGGTCACGATGCTGTGGTCACGATGCTCTGGTCACCCAAGAAATCAGTCATGCGAAACCACATTTCCCTCACGCCTCCCGAGCACCTCGTGCAAAGCACCGGACCAATCAGACGCGCACACATGGCCAGCTGCCAGAGAGACGGCGCAAAGACAGTCACCCCATTCTGAGCGTCTCACCTGAAAGGAGGCGCGCAGGAAATCAGTGGTCAACACGGCACCCCCCCCCCAAGGGCAGCGAGGCAGCGCAAAGACAGTCACCCCATGTGGACCCATTCTGAGCGACTCACCTGGAAGTAGGCGCGGAGGAAATCAGTGGTGCCGACCGCACTCCCCCCGGCGCTCCCGGAGCACCCCGTGTACAGCACGGGGCCAATCAGCCGCTCCATCTCCGCCAGCTGGCCCCAGAAGGGCAGAGAGGGGGCGCAGAATAGAGTTTTCACACACTCAGGCTCTCACCTGAAAGTACGCGCGAAGGAAATCAGTGGTGCCCACGGCACTCCCCCCCGCTCCCCCTGAGCACCCGGTGTACAGCACAGGGCCAATCAGCCGCTCCATCTCCGCCAGCTGGCCTGAGAAGGGCAGAGAGGCGGCGCAGAAGAGCGGCGGGGCGGACTCGAGGGAGAGCGAGGAGAAGACGTCCAGGAACTGGTCTGAGGGGTCCAGGAAGCGCGGCGATGGGTCGTCGTCCGTGAGGGAGTTGGGGCTCGTTAACTCCTCTTCCTCTTCTCCTTCCTCCATGTCCACTTCTTCTACTTCTTCGTCTTCCTCCTCCTCTTCCTCCTCGTCTTCCTCTTCGTCCTCCGCATCCTCCTCTTCCTCCTCCTCTTCCTCTTCTTCTTCCTCATCCTCTTCCTCTTTCCCATCTCGCACTTTCAAGGCTCCGTCCGCTGCTTCATCTCCACCGGCGACTCTCGCTCCCGCCGCTTCATCTCCACCGTCCATCGCATCCATATTCAGATCAAAGTTCAGATCAAACCCTACCGGGGACTTACTCTCCTCTTCCTTCCCCACCTGCTCTCCTGCTACCTTCTCCTCCCATTCCCCTCCCAGACTTTCTTCTTTCTTTCCCGCCTCCCTCCTCCCCTTCTCCTTCAAACCCTCCTCAATCTCCGCCTTTACTCTTGGCTTCCCTAAAACAGCCGTTCCTCGACTGTCATCTGCTACTGCTGCTACTTCTGCCTTCACCTCCTCATTGCCTCCGGCTTTAATGTCTGCATCTTTCACGGCTCTGAGCTCTTCTATTTTATTCGCTGCTGCTCGCACCTCGTCCGGACGAAGCTTCGCGTGCAACAGCACGTCCCTGGCGGGTAGGCAGAACGAAGATTCCTCGACTGTACGAGGAATGAACAGCAGAGGAATAATTCGCCGCTCCGCGACAATTCGTTCGCAGCTCGCGCACGCCACCAGGACCGTCTCATACGGCGCATGTGCCGGCGGCTGCTGCGCCGCGTGATGCGCCGCATGATGCGGCGTGTGATGAGGAGTATTATGGCTAGCTTGGCCCTGCGACGGGTTCTGCGACAGCTGGTGCGACAGATTCTGCGCCGGACCGTGCGGAACGGGAAGGTTTCGCGCACCTTCCCTGCTGCCGCAAAAAGGGCACTTGTCTTCCATTAATCTCCGGGAGCAGCGTTGAAGGCGGCTCGGGGAATCTAGGTCGGACAGAGATGAGGGATTGACTTAAAAAACTACACTTATGAAATGACGACGACTTCACAGTCGACTGAAAAAAATACCTCCTGTAACCAACGCTACGAACTGGATTATTACTGTACTCGGCGCAGCATCCCGGCCTCTCGAAGCATGACCACACTACTTCATGATCACAACTTCATTACTCTACCATTACAATTGATGCCTGTTTGAGCCCCTCCCGGTTGCCTTATAAGCTGTCACGAGCAGTTCGCATAAGTTTCGTCAATTCGCAGCTAGCTAAAAAGAATTCGCATGTGCTTATAAACAAGACTCTGCTACCTAGTTACCTAGTTTGACTTCAGTCTCTTCTGCTTGACTTCGGTCTCTTCTGCTTGACGCGCTTGTAATGTAGGTGCATAAGGCTGGGGAAACAACCTCGGGTGCAGCGTATCCATCTGGCGCAAGGCAAATTCGCTGGGAAAGTCTATCCCAGCTCCCGACTTCCAGGAGCAGCGAGTTGTGATCCACCCTGGGCTTTGTTTTGCTTTGCTGGACTGGTCTTGTGACCCTTTGTTCTCCCCCACTTTGCCTATGGGGGTGTGTTAAACTGTATTATGCTTGTAGGCTGTAGTGGGGTAGCCAATATGGGGTACAACCCCAACTAGGGTTTCATATTTGTACCCAAACTTCTGTTAGTTCATTCATTCTTGCCTAGTTATTCAGGGTTTATTCGACGTAGGTGCCTGTGGACTTCCAGGATGCCATCTCTGCGTCCATGGCTGTCTGCCACTGAGAGGAGTAGGGACCCGAGATCGCCTCTGCGTAAGTGCGCGGAGTGGGGATGTCTAGTGCATCCGGGTCTCCCTCAGGGGCAAGCAACCAGGCCACGAGATGAGGTACAGCAGCCGCAAGAGAGTCAAAGTCCTCCTGCCTGTCCTCAAGGACGTCCGTGCCAAGAGCACACTCACCCCCGACGGACGGAGGACAGACAGACGCAGACTCTGACTCAGCAACAAGGCTAGCAGCGTAGTCTAGACGACAGGCAGCAGCAAAGTCAACCAACTCAGCGACCAGAGCAGACGCAGCCGAGGACTCAAAGGTAGGGTCAGTGACAACAGTAGCGAGGAGACGCGTGACTGTAGGGTGCTCAGCGCGATACCGGTCAGACTCAGGGTCCGGAACGGCAGGCAAAGAGGACGCAGGAGGAGACGGTAGAGGGACACGCCGAGGAGCAGTAGAGGGACGCAGAGTCATGTAGTGAGTGCCTGGGACAGGAGGAGGACGCTCACGACGGACACGACTACCAGTGCGAGCAGGACGAACAGGCGACGCAGGACGAGACTCAGGCTCACGACGCTCTGTAAGACCTCCTGTGGGACCAGTATAAGGAGAGGGAGCAGGGAGAGGCGAGGCAGGCGGTAACTGTGACTGCGGCTGGACAGGCGGAGGACACTCTACGGAGGGAGGAGGACAAGGAGGAGGAGCCTGCCCAAGAACCTGCTGAAGGAGCGGTACGAAGTACGGTCGCGGCCGCGCAGCGTCTCCAGAAGCAGAAGGGACTCCAGCGGCCGGGTCCTCAGCACCAGTAGGAGCTCCAGCGTCCGGGTCCACAGCACCAGCAGCAGCTCCACCGGCCGGGTCCCCAGCTCCAGCAGCAGCTCCACCGTCCGACTCCTCAGCACCAGCAGCAGCTCCACCAGGTGGGTCCGCAGCACCAGCAGCAGCGCCACCCCCAGAGTCGGCAGCTCCAACTCCGCTAGCACCGCCAGCGCCAGAGTCCCCAGCTCCAGCAGCTCCAGTCGCAGTGCTCCCAGAACAGCCAGTCCCGGCAGCTCCAGTACCCCCAGTACGAGCACCCCCAGGACGAGCAGCTCCAGCACCCCCAACTCCAGCCGAGCCACTAGGACGGCGAAAGCGTCGGACGTACCAGTCACGAAGCTGCTGCGGTGTGAGAGACTGCTCAGCACCCCGAACCGGAGCACCCCCAGACGCAGTAACCCGAGGCTCCGTAGGCTCAGTAGCAGCACCCCCAGGCTCAGTACCCGCAGGCTCAGTACCCGCAGGCTCAGCACCCCCAGTCGCAGCACCCCCAGGCTCAGCACCCCCAGGCGGCAAACTCTCAGGCACAGTACCCTCAGCTCCAGCACCCGCAGGCTCAGCACCCCCAGGCGCAGCACCCCCAGGCTCCGTACTCTCAGGCACCGTACCCTCAGCTCCAGCACCCTCAGTCCCAGCACCTGCAGCCCCAGCACCCCCAGGCCCAGCACCCCCAGGCTCAGCACCCCCAGGCTCAGCACTCCCAGCAGCACCACCCGCAGCAGCACCTGAGTCACCTGTGACCTCGACAGGCTCAGCGACGGGAGGAGGGTCTACCTGAGAGACACCTGAAGGAGCAGGACCCTGAGGGGGAAGGGGGTCTACCGGAGGGGGACCAGGAGCAAGGAAAAGCGGCGGGGGAGGGAGGGGGGCAGTGCGGTAGGGGAAGAGACGGTAAAAAGGAACCGACTCGTCAAAGGTGACATCCTGAGAGGCGAAGACCCGGCGCGAGGTGGGGTGGTAAAACTGCCAGCCAGGCGCGTCAGGGACAAAGCCAAGGAAGACACAGGGAAGCGTGCGGGAGGAGAGCTTGTCCGCGGACGTATCGCGGACAAGGGCACGAGCACCCCACACCCGGAAGCGCGACGCATCGCCAACCTCCCCCGTCCAACGCAGTGTGGGCGAGGTCTCCGGTAAGGAGACACGGGGCCAGAGGTTGAGCTGATGCGCGGCGTACCGGACAGCAAACGGCCACAGAAAATGGGGAGCCGCCGCGTGGACCAAGGAGGTACGAGCGACCTCCATGACCAGGCCAATGCGGCGCTCAGCAACCCCATTCTGCTGTGGGGAGTCCGGAAGCGTGAAGGTCTGCTCGATGCCCTCCGCCTGACAGAAGGTCCTCAAGAGATCGGAGGAAAACTCACCACCTCTGTCAGAGTGCAGACGCAGGACAGGAAGATCCGTCCGGAAACGGCGGCGGAGCTGGAGACGAACCGTGCGGATCCAAGGGATCAGAACAGCAGGGACCTCACCCTTGGTGCGCAAGGGGAAGACCGTGGTGTAACGCGAGTAGTCGTCGACAACCAGCAAAAAGTACCGCTCACCGCCCTGACCACGAACGCGGGCTGGGCCCCACACGTCCAGGTGGAGGGTCTGCAGAGGAGCCTCTGTCGGGGGGAACGAGGAGGAGTGAGGAGCGGCGCGCTGCCGCCCCTCGACGCAAGGAAGGCAAGGCGGCGCAGGCGAGGCAGGGAGGGGAGGGAGGGACCTGGGAAGACCAGACACAAGGTGGCGACGGTGCATGCCACGAAGGCGTGGCAAGGAGGGGTGACCCAGGCGGTGGTGCCAGAGAAGAGTCTGGTGCGACAGGGAACGACACTCACAGGCGTGGGCTACCAGACCTGACGCGGACACCTGACCGACAGCAGCGACCTGAGGAGACGCAGTGGTCAGTGTGTAGAGACTCGACCCCGGCCGACGGGTAAACGTAGCCAGGTGACGGCCGGTCCTGGAGCACGTGCAGATCGCCACACGCTGTCCGCCAGGGGTAAAGGTGTCAACCCACTGATCCTGGAGGACAGCGTTGCTCACCAGGTTCGTCGAGAACGAGGGGAGGTGGAAACCCGACAACGAGCCAGACGGAACCGCCGGACAAGGGAGGACAGTGGTGGACTGGGCAAGGACTGGGCCCCCAGAGGGGTCAGCCAAGGAGACTGGGACCGGTGCAGGAAGCGGTGTGAGCTCAGTACTGTCACGAAAGAAGCAACGGGAAGCACCTGAGTCAAGGGTGAAGGTGTGACAGGCCTCAGCCGGTGCGGTACCTGAGAGAGCAGTCTCTGTGGGTGCTGTACCTGAGAGAGCAGACTCGAAACCAGCCGGGACAGCACTGGGGGGAGCAAGTACAGGGGGCACCATACCAGAGAGAGCAGACTCACTAGTACCCAGGGCAGCGGGCTCTATACCTGGGTCAGGCGGCACACACAAGTAACAGTCTCCCTCGGCACTAACAGTCAATGCATACATGGCAGCAATAATAGCATCATAGTCAAGAGCAAAGACATCAACACCAGCCCTCATGAGCTCAGCCCAGCGGGGGCGCTCAACATCCGCACCCATCTCCTCACGCCAAGCGTCGTCAAGGCGGGAGAAGCAGCGGTACGGGGTGTGGAACCTCCCACACGTCTGTCCCTTGCGGTCACCTGTGCGAATGACATAAGAACAGCGGCCACTGCCCCCCGACGTCCCACGCTGAGCAAGCCACTCACGAAGCTGCTGGGTCG